CCAGCTTGTCATAAAAACAAACATTTACTCATACCACCAATTTTTGTATGCAGCGAGTTATCCTGTACTACGGGTGTGTATAATATCGCTTCAAATCCGATCAGTAGCAAAAAACTCATTCTTCATAGATTGGTATCACCTGCGCTAACAACCCTTCATCGTTTCAAAACGCAATCTCACTATGGATCGCCCGAGAACCATGACATTCTTACGAGGTCTTCAGTGCTACTGAGACCATTCAAAAGAAATCCCATTTGGTTATTTTTTGGTCATCTCCCGGGAACGCCTGCGATATCAACGAACACTTTCGCACCGCGTCCCACAAATCTAAGGACGCGCAGTGCAGCGATTCAGCCCATGGAACATCGTAAATTTGTATGATAAAAACATCCTAAAAAACAATATAGCAATTCCTCGCATCGTTTTCCTGAAGACGAACGGCATCGAGGACGCATGATCTGCGTGAGAACGGCCTCGCCGCCGCTTCTGTTGCTGCAGTAACAGTGGATTCTATGTCACCTGAGGCTCCGAAAAGGAAATTGAAGGGATTTCTGCGGAGGAAATTGCTGTGTTTCACTCAGCTTGGGCAGCGTTGAATTGGTAAGCGGTCTGTGGAAACACTAGAGTTCTGACTAGAGCTTGTATTGCAAGCTTGAAGAATTGCGCATTATTAATCAATGAAGACGGAAAGCTAATGCAATTGTTAAAGGACCACAAGGTCCTGTGCAGGCATTTTTCCTGTTCACTTGTAAGCACAAGATTTAGGTTTGAAGGCGTACCTGGAAAAAGTTTAATGTAAACTTTAAAAGACCCAGGAATTGCTTGACTGCTATTGTAGGTTGAACGTGTACTGTGTTTTTAATGGTACCGTTTTCATGATGCCAATAAAATTTCACATGATTTACTAGTTAATAATGTTTCCACAATGATTGTGAGATTTACTAATAAAATACCCTCATATTAATAGCATCAAATCAACTGGTTAATATTTAAAAAATATAACTCAGTACTCACTGCAGTGAGTGACAGAGAGCGCATTTTCTCGTCGACGAAAACGTGAGGTCATGGACGGACAGACGGACGGATGGACATGGCGAGCACAATAGTGCATTTTTTTCATAAATGAGAAAATGCGCTAAAGAGAAGCTTATTTTTTATTAAAACCTCATTCTAAAACGTTATATATTTTAATAGTGTATTTATGTGAGTGTGTTGAAGTCATGTGCTCTATATATAAATGAGCTGTTAGGGCCCGCATTTGCATTGCAAATCGTTTCGGAATATTACCTGGCAATACAATTATTGGCTATTTCAATTTTGTTAAGTATGAATAATATGCGCAACAATATTCTTAAGGTTGCTTTAAATTTAAAAAACATGAGTTAAATATTGGGGGTATCGTGCTAAATGTGACTTTTAACTGGCAATTTTTAAATTAACGTGCACCAATTTAAAATTATTAGCTGAATTTGGGAAGACGGGATTCGGAATTCTGTTATTCGCAAACTGTAAGAATAATCATTACGTGCTACTGCGGACCTTCTGCTAGTTTTCTTCCATGATGAGAATTCTTCTTCTCAATTCTAAATGTGTAATTAATAATCCCATATTACAATATTTTCCCATGCTTTATAAAATATTGCAAATTTTCTACATTGGAAATTGCAGAAAAATGTTCGGTCGAAACGACTGCTATAAACCTTTAATAAATAAAGCTGGGTTTGGCAAGCGACATTAGAGTTTTTTTATCGTAGCAAATCTTCAAAGACCGTTTTTTTCTTGAAGATCACAGAAAGCTCAAGATTTGGAAGAAATTTTGGAGTCGTTTCGCCTGAGGAGTGGAAAGTTCTCAGGATTTCCTGGCCCTTATTACAGGAGGTTGCTGAAGACTCTCGTGAACTTCCGGCTTTTCCATTCCGCTGTCTCATCCGCATTGCTAAAAAATTTTCATCTCAGATTTTACCCTTTTTCTGCATGAATAAAGGAAGACAAACGCTGCCTCTATTTGCATCAATGAAGAAAACTTATGGGATATACTATTTTGGGTCTAAAGCTGATGGGATTTACTTTTGTGGGGTTTTGGTTGAAATTCGGCCAAACCATGCTAAGAAATTCTATTTATTTGTCGGAATATAAGTCGGTTTTTCCTCGTCGGCCAGGACTTTTATTTACCCGTATGAATCTTCCGTTCTACAGTTGTACCTTTGCTTATATGTATGAAAAGAATCAAGCACCAAGAATCCTTTAGCAATAGAACTGTAAATAGAAGCTATCACTGATCGAGATGGATCAATTGAGAATTGATTTATATCGTCCTTGTATATTTTATATATTCCAGGCTCCAGAGAAATGTTATATATTTATTGATTATTTAAGGCATATTCACTAGTCCTATGCCAAAAGTATGCTTAAATAATCAAACAGAATTGCATTTTATTGATCATTGTATAAAAACTAATGATTACAGAAGTCGCATGTTTCTGTTGCCTGGAAAAGAGTCGGGTGGGTAAAATTGCCTCCGGTCCGGTCAGGGCTGAGCGATCTTTTGACTCCGGTCCGCTCAGGGTTGAGCGATCTTTTGACTCCGGTCCGCTCAGGGTTGAGCGATCGATGAAGCATTTTTTCCATTTGTGAACGACATTAACCGTCAGACTCCCCAGACGAATTATAGACGTGATTTTCCAGACCAGCCATTACGTCAATCTTTTTCAAAGTTTTACCTGTCGTTTTTCGTCTATGCCACGCCAACCCGTTAGAAAATGAACATACTAATAATTATTGTTCATTATTCATGACTATGGAAAAGAAATTAAAAAATTTCTGGAAGAATGACGTAATTGATTGTCATAATATAATAATTTGATTGCTCTCCAGTCAGGAATATAAGTAAATAAGATAGTTATGGAAATCTGACTGGGTGCTGATATATGATATATCCCAACATCCACTCACAACCTATAAACAACTCGCTACTCGTCTTGTCAATAAATTAAGGCTTTTATTGTATGTCCTTTGAACCAAATGTAACAACAATAAGTATTCTAAATGGCTTTTAATTGTTTTGAATAGAAAGTAGCACTTTTTACATGAAATCCAAAATTCCTTAAGCGACAAGTCACGCCTTTGTTAGGCACATACGTAAATTTTTCTTCTATTTTTCTGTACAAATATTGGCTTATACTTTGTTATTTGTGTTGGTAATTAAACTCTAAAATTCCTAAATTGACGTAAAAAAGGCATTGCAACCTTAGCCTTTATTGTTAGTTTTATTCGGTTTGCATAATTTTACAAATTCATCCTGTTAACAGTCTTTTTAAAAGCCTTTGTCTAAAATTAGCTCCACATAGGTTTTCTCTCGGTTTTATCAAATCCTTCACTCTTGACTTCAGATTTTCCTTCAAGTCAAGATGCAAATTCTATAATAGCAGGAAGCCCTGCATGGAAATGGCGTAAATATTTTTTCAAAGCTGGCCCAGTGGGTCGAAAATAAATTGTGAGGAACGTTTGTTAAATCAACGCAAAAAAACAAAGCCTTGTGAGTACCAATCGCCACCAACGATTCATATTTGCCTGAACTTCAAATATGCACGCAGCTTCCAAATTCGAATTCAAAAATTCATGGACCGTGCGCGCTTCAAGATAAAATGCACAAGAGGTTTGTGGTCTATGCTTCTGCGCGCTCTGAAGCGAGTTCGTATCATATGATAACATTGAAGCGTATAAGATAACTGAAATGCCAAAAAGCGAGATTACAGCGTGTTTTTCGGTTGTGTTCCCGAGGTTTCCTGTGATGTTAGTATTGGCGGTTAAGTGATGATCATCATCCTCTACAAGCTACCACTATCATCATTCTATTGCCTTGGAGTTTTAGTTGCTGCCCACAAGTATTTATAATCAAGGCGGAGTTTGTTCATATTGAGGTTTCTGTCAATTTAGCCAAAATGCAAATAAAATCAACCACGTTCGATGCAGGGCATACACGTGATAGTATATCATTACGATTATTATTATTATACGAAGAAGTTATCGCAGCGTCTGGTTCAAACGAACTTCGAGTGCACGTCACACTCATGTTTAATAATTAATAGCAAGCGAAAAATGAATAGAAACAAGAAAGGATTAAAACTGATAAAAATAACTAAGCACTTGATTCATAGGCTCTACGAAATGGTTCCGTCTTTAGGCGTCGACAAAACACCTGCAACGAAGGAGCTGATGTTACGGAAGCAGTCAGACTGTTCCAGGTATTGGCGGAACGTTCTGTCGACAACGGCAAATGGACGACGAGGTCCGCTGTTTACGACGAACGCAGTCGTCTTCTAGAAGGCAGATCCGACATGCGTAGCAGACATTCCTTGAGATAAGGAGGCGCCAGACCGTGAAGGCATCGGAACGTCAGAACAGCGACCTCAAACTGAGTGCGCTGCTGCATGCGCAGCCAGTGAAGATCGCGCAATATCGGCTTCACATGGTCGAATTTTCGCTTATTGCCAACGATTCGCTCAGCAGCGTTCATTACGGATTGCAATTTATTAAGTGTCGTGGTCGCAAGTCCATAGAGTGTGGCATTACCATAGTCAAATCTGGTCAGGTTGAGCGCCACCACGAGGACCTCGAGGACCGGCCTCGAAAGACAGCGGCTGACGATACGTATTCGTCGTAGAGCGCCAAAACAAGCGGTGGTGACTTTGGGAATGTGATTGTTCATAGAAAATTCCGAGTCCAGAAGAATTCCCAGGTTGTGAACCTCCTAAGACGCAAGCATGATGAACTCGTTGCCCACACGAACAGGGTTGGCCGGAAGCTGATATTGGCGCCGAGCGGTCGCAAACTAAATAAAGTCGGTTTACTATGCATTGAGCTGGAGCCTGTTGGAGCGCATTCAGTCTGAGACGACGCATCCATGCAGACAGACATCCGGCCCTGCAACACTGCAGCGTCAGTCTGTGCACAGTAACTATAATTTTGGGTGTCGTCTGCGAACATATGCCTATTCAAACCATGTGAATCAATTATGCGCAACACGTCGACAGTATATAACAGGAAGAGGATTGGGTCGATAACTGATCCCTGTGGTACGCCGCAAGTGACCAACGATGGCGTAGAAGAAGAGTTCCCGCGTCGAGCGCATTGGAATATATTGCTGAGATAGGACTCGATCAACCGCAGCACTGTGCCATGCAGGCCGAAAGATACGTCAAGTCGGCGCAATAAAGTGGCGTGGTCGGCCGTGTCAAACGCGGCCGACAAGTCTTGTAAAACCGAGTCGCGGTCTACTGCTCGCATACTTTCTGGAAGCACCTTCAGCACAGCTTTTTCCGTCGAGTGGAGATGACGGGATGCAGACTGGAGGAAAGGCACAAGACCGGACTGCTGAAGATGTTTGTTCAGCTGTCGGGACACAACGCGTTCCAGGAGTTACGACAAAACAGACAGGTTGGAAATGCGATCAGATTTCGACGAAATCGACAGGTTGGATTTGCGATCAGAAGCGTCGAAGCCTGTTTTTTCAATAGAGGCGTAATTTAAGCTGATTTGAAGTTCTCCGGAACAAGACGGTCAGTGAGGCAGCGGTTGGTAAATTCAACCAGAAAAGTATTCGGGTTACAACAATTCCCTCAAGTAACGACGTCGGCAGCGGATCGCTGGCACACTGCATGTTAAGCAGCGTGCGCACTGCAACAATAACATCATGAGCTGTGACGCCAGTGAATTCTTGGAGCACGGTGAAAATGTTAATGACGGAGCATCGGCTGACGACGCTCGCACAGCAGAAATTATGTTTGCAAAAACCGCATGGAATTCTTCCGAACTTACGTCCCCCGAAGCATCTGTATGAAGCCCGTAAATTTACCAGAAACTTTTGTCACAATGGTTTTAACTTCCAAAAAGCATTTAAAATATTACATTAAATTCAAAGGAAGATTTCCAATAGTCTTGCATCATATTTATATCAATAATCAAATAAAATATAATCACTTTGAAATGCATGAAAAGTCCGGAATGTACGAAACAAGAGTTACGACTCTTTTATCGTACTCTGAATGTGCTCGTATTTCTGATATGTATTGAACCCTGGACAATATTCTCTTTAAGTAACATTTCAAAGCACAAGCTGAGCCTCTATGAACATTGAAATTCAACGCACCGTATTCATCGCCTTGAGAGTTCAGCAGTTCAAGCAGTGCTACAAAGTCTGGCCAGTTTGCAAGCGAATCCTTCTGATGGTTTCCAAACATTTCAGATTTACGAGCCTCGTCGAATAGGAAATTGTTGGCTAATCATAGACGGCCAACTACTGGCTGGCTAGTGGCCATGGATGACCCACCCAACATTTACAAGAACTAGATCAAACATGAGAATTATGGCGTTCAGGGCTTTGGTTTTTGATGTATGATGCCCAAAAGACGTAAAAATGTCTGAGATCGAGACTTCCACAAACTGCTTCCTTTCGCTGACGGTGTAGGCAAGTTTGTCTTCGCATTCCCCGTGATATAGATGATGCATTTTATATATGTCTTTAACAATCAGATTATGGGATTTGAATGCATTAAATAGATCGATCACAAACAATGATATTATGGTTGCATTAAATAAATGTCGTCATCAAACAATGATATTATGGATGCAATAAATAAATGGTCGTTATCAAGCAATGATATTATGGTTGCATTAAATAAATGGTCGTTATCAAACAATAATATTATGGATGCTAATTAAATGGTCGTTATGAAACAACGATTTTGTTGGCCCTTTGCATTAAATAAATGGTCATTAGCAGGGATTTAATAAATGGTCAACATCTTCATTACCGACATATGAATCGTTTATCAGAAACAATTAAATTAAATAATAAGCTGCCGGCAAAATTTTTTCTGCGAAATCCACTGTATTTCATCGTTTCATTTGATTTATGAATTCGGGAAACAATTTAAGCTATACATGTTTAGGACTTTTTAAATTTCCTACGAGTTAATCACAATTCATTTATTTCGAGTCGTTTTAAAGTTCCACCGAGTTGATCACGTGTCATTTATTTAAAGTCTTTTAAAACTTTCGTTAAATTAGTAACGTTTCATTTATTCGGGTCATTTTATATAAACTTCCCCCAACTTAATAACGATTAATTTACTTCAAATCTGTTTTAAATTCCAACCGAATTGACCACGATTAATTAATTTCTCAAGACCCTCGCAACTCCTGCATCTAACTCACCCACAATGTCGAGTTTCATCCGAAAGTTTCGTGAGCGAGATCTTCTGAAGTCGACGCGGCAGCGGTACAGCCCTTGATCGGTCCGCCTAACCGCCCGCAGCACCAAGGCGGGTCCCTCCTTGGCCGTGTTGAAGTGAGCGCCTGAGTTGAGGAGGGAGCTGTCCTGCCAGTGGTGCGCGTGGGGCAGAGGAGTCGACCGTCCGTCCACACTGAGACAAAAATATCCAGAACTCCTTTTATACAGAAGAAAAATATTATATATTATATAGAACACCTATGTAATATTTATATCTTATATAATATATATGTTTATATTAATTATATAGAACACCTTTTAAACCGAAGAAAAATAACCAAAATAACACATTCCTTAATTAATAAAATATTACTACATATAATACTGAACAAAATAGCTATGCAGTAAATGTAGGACTTAACTAAATATTTAATGAGTTTCAGAAGTAAGCAAGGATATAATAATCGTTTAATTGAATTGTAAGCAGCTAAATGGGTTAATTTTTAGTTTGCAGCTGAGTAGTGGGAAATGCCTGCAAAATTTGACGCCTATACCAGTTCACAGGAGTGTCATACTTGCTAAATAATAGAATTTAGAGCTGTGTATAAAGCGGCTAAATGCCCCATAATCAGTCTTAAAGTTAGCTAGTAATAATTGGTACGAATTCCGGTACAACAAGTAATAAGTTAAAAAAATTAACTCTTATACTGTATTAATTATTATTAAATTAAATATCATCAGTTCGGCATTTTTTACCATTCACCTGCTTAAGCCAAGGAATACTAAAATGGGAAATTTATTATCTTCATTTGATTGCTCTCGACGCGCGCAAACAATTTTACAACATGACTGGATGTTAAAAAATACTATCTAATAAAACTGGCATCAGTGTAGCGATCAATCTCTCGGACTCTCTCGAAAAATCGTATATAATGCAGTGCCCAGAGCGTTTCTTGAGCCTGGTAAGCTGAATGAGCAGCGATATAGAGCCATTTATTGCTGTATAATTCATTCGCTGCCGCGTTTGATCAGTTAAATTGCTGCAGATCAAAGCAGCGATGTATTTAGCTTTGAAACCACCAGCGCATCGCACCTGACTATTCCGTGTCAAAGATTTAAAATATAAATTTAAAATTAATGTTTTGAAGTCAAATGACTATTTATGGAGAGAAAAAAAGGGACAAAAGGCTTTACGTTTCAAGTTTTGTCAGTGCAAAGAAGATGCCCTCCAATTGTAGATAAATGCCCAGATTGTACAGCAAAAACTCAAGATTCAACGAAAAATTTCATTTTAGAAGTCAGTCATCATTGCAGGAAAAAAAATTGAATATTTTTTATCGGAAAATTTTTCTATGAATAACGTAATTTGAAGATCGGTTAAAATATCTGATAAAAATCATGCATGTCTTTTCTATAAAACAAACGTGTTTGCTTATGCGATGTGGAATAATATGGCTTCCTTGCGATAAAGTTAATAGAGAATTTTAGCTCAATTAACTGATGAAAAATATTTCAAATTCTATAAATGCGTCAGCCCAATAAATTTTTTTTTTATTTCTCAAACTCTTCTATTTAGTTTCAATTAGATATTAACCACTTACTCTAAGTACCTATAGATACGTGGAACATATTTCTGGGCTGATGGAGGTTACATCAATTATTTGACACGGATTAATTACTTGATGTGATGTAAAGCTTGGATTTTTATGTAAAAAATATAATCTTTTGCATAAATTGCATCGGTTGCCATATTCCTATCAAATTAAACTAAGAGGCATCTACTTCCAACCACGTTTTTGTTTGCCAGGGTCAATTTAGAGTCAAATACTGAAGCTTTTCAACATAAAACAGAAAAAATTACCCGTTAGCACACAACATCCAATCCACGTAAAATTTTGTAGAGTTTTAAGCTCTCGATCTCGGTACTTGAGTCCGACGCGTCTTTCCTTTTTGCTGAAAAGTAAAGGAAGAAAATTTCGCTTCTCAGTTCACTGAATACTTTTTTCAGTAAACATTATCCGCCATCAATAGTGCAGCGGCGATTTCCAACTTTAACACCAATTTTTTTAAACTTTCTAGCATTTTTTCGCTATCCTGAGCTATAATTTTATTGCTATAACTTGCGAACAATGTTTCAATGTATTATTACACTAGCGATCGAGGTTATATTTATAAAAGTCATAAAGCAATATTAGCTGCAACGGTGAAGTCCACAAGTGCTTCTCTGGTCTCAAACTCCATGAGATGGATAGTATAATTTTCCGAAGCAGCGCTTTCTTGAGAGCTCTTTCCCTGCTGAATAGACCTTTGTCCTTAGGTAACATCTTTTGGAAAGTCTTCCCATACCAGCAAGATCTCTAGTATTTTTTGGACCCAACTTCCTTCCTTCTCCGTTGCATTACGACCTTTAGATTTTTTGTCCACCACAAGGACACTTGTCCCTTGCATTCTTCAGCCAGCAGAGTAAAGGTAATGGCAGAGACAGCGATATTGCTCGGGATTGCGGCCAACTCTGAGCCTCCGGAGTCGGTGTATCGAAATGAAAAGTGTCATCCCGAATCTTTATACATTGCGCTGGCCGGACATGAAACCTAACTTTGTGCAGTGAGCTTTATTTGAGCAAGCGAGGCACGTGCCAGGACTTCGAACTCGACTTCCATGAGAAATGACGATTCTTAAAATGAAGGTTGAGCTTGACATTAGATGAAATCAAACTAATATACCAGGTTGTTATCGGCAACACATTTTTAAAGATCAAAATCATGACACTATATATGAAGTTTAAACGTTGGACTGAATCTGGTATTAAAATATATGAAAATCTACTGGATTTCTGGGCAGTCAAGTGACTCTCAAAAGCTAATTTGTAACCTTTTTTCAACGAGTTGGAAAGTGATTCATACCATTGTCAGTTTTCATGAAAAGAAGCTTATTTTTCTTATCAAGGTAAGCGTGAGAAACGAGTCACCTTATCACTAGATTTCAAAGACTTAACAATGCAAGCAAGAGAACACAACTTAGTTATTATACGTTGAAAACTGAAATCTGAGGCTCCGGCAGGGAACAGAAAAAAAAGTAACTCAGTACTCACTGCAGTGAGTGACAGAGAGCGCATTTTCTCGTCCGTCTGTTCGAGAAGTCACGGACAGACAGACGGTCGAACGGACATGAAGAGCGCAATAGCGCCTTTTTTTCATAAATGAGAAAATACGCTAGAAAGAATGGGAAGTAAATTCAGTTCAGAAAATTGCGCAATATAAATAGACAGTTCCCTGCCTCCCTCCACCTGAGCAGCCTTATAAAGCGGCTGCTCAGGAAATATCACTCCATGTGTCATAATCTCTGTGAGTGACGAGCCGTTCATCGTCTCGGGACGAGACTGGCATAACGCCTCTTCGCCTATACTTTTGTGTCTATAGCTAAATAATATATAAAGTTGCTGATGCATGTGACACGGAAATATAGTCATGGACACACTTATTCACACTACATCCAAGACACACTTATGATTTTTTTATAATAGATAAAGACTTTTAACAAACAGTTTCTACTTCTTCCAATTTTAGCACCAATACGATGCATGTTTTGTACAAAAATGTAGGATAATTTCGTAAAAGCAACATTTCTTCTACAGACCTTCATTTTTTACATCGTAAAAATATCTCATCTTCTCTTCCTCAACCGCTAATAAGTCTCAAACTAACAAATGTTATTCAATTTCAATATCTCTTGATGGCATACAAATTATTTTCATCTCTTATCCTTGGTTAATTATCAGCTATTCGGAAGACGGGAAGCGTTTCTCCCTTCCTCACAGTCAGCAATTAAAAGTTTCCGACTGCCAGGCCGTAAAATGAGGGCGCTTTTTGCGAGCTGACCACAAACCGCACAATTTCATTTTGTTTACTACGTCAGGTAGGAATTGCACGTAATTATAGGAGATAAATTTACCGGATTCAGCCGTCATTCATTAGCCCTCTAATTGCAGTAATATAGCCACTCTAGTATCTAAACTTAAATACGATGTTAACTTCGTCCTTGAGGTTAACGGGGTGGGTTGAATTATTATTATTTTTCAATTACTGCATTAAACAGAGGACTTAATTAATGAACAACTTTACAGTCGATAATTATTTACAATGATAACGCAAAAAACAGGTGGCAATAATGGTCACGTTCACCAGAAAAAGTAACTTGGAATACGTTGGACTGATTGAAGGTCCGAAACCATGATGGATATTAATTTCATAATCGTCAATTACATGCTTATGACAAGAAATCGCGATGAACTAAATTTTAGAGTAAAAAATCTAAAAGTAATACCACTAGTCAATCAATTTGTTCATAAACCTAACGTAGAAGACTATGCAGTGTACTTTTTGAGTGCGTCACATAATTTATATTCGGAACAACAATTGATGCAAAAACACCACGCTCTAAATTGACGATGAAATAAAAAAAATACGCAGAAACAAGTTATTTTTCACCTTTACTTTAGAGATTTTCAGAGTTGAATTCACATTGCCGAAAACTTGAGAAAAGTCATTAACTTTCCTTAATCAAATCTCGTATTGTAAATTCACCAGGAATTTTTTCGCCTTCGTTCTCTGAAGGCCGAGTGATTAAGAAATACTTATGGTTATTATTTTATTAGCTGTTCACATCATTTAATATGGCCAGTAACATTTACTCTGGTTTGTAAGTATCAAGAGTTCGATTGCAGATCATGGCTCCACAACAACGGCGAAAGTTTAGAAAGTTTTGCAGATACTTATCATGTTGGTAATGTTATGGCTCTGCAAAGTATGCCACTGTTCGCAACTTTTGTTGGTAATGACATGTCCCTGTATGAAATGCCACATCACGCTTCAGTAGTTGGTTTGACATGCCACTGCACGCAACTTTGACTGGTAATGGTATGCCTCTGTATGACATGCCAAAAGTACATACTTGGTAATGATATGACACTGTATTGCATGTCAGTATATGGCATGCCACTGTACGAGAATTTTAGTTGTTAATGATTACAATTTGTTAATTTTAGTTCTTATTATGATTAATGCCTTAAATGTTTGGGACAATAGCTGGCTTTCTTCTTCTATCTTATGCGACCGGTATTCAGGACAGAAAAATATACGTTAGTTTCTCATGCAGGATTGTGAAGACAATATATTCTACTTACAGTTCTCTAGTGCCAGTTTAGACTGCTTATTAGTTCGATTACTGTCACGTCAGGCAAACAACTGATCATTCACAGAAAGTCTGTTATTTTCATTTGAATAAAAGTCATGCCCGTCCACTTCATTAACAGTAAACCCTGTCAGTTAATATACTGTTCCAGAAAGTAACTTCAATTAATTAATACAATTTTTTCGACTCGAAGATTAAAATAGGTGATCACATCTACGACCCCGAATCTACGTCCATCTACTTGCTGAAATAGGTGATCGGTTTTATGACTCTACATCTACCGACTCACATCTACGACCTCGACTCTACCTACATCTACTGGCTGAAAAAGGTGATCGGTCCTACAGCCTCGACTCTACATTTACCGGCTGCAACAGGTAATGATTGGAACTGGCGCATGAATGGAAAAGTGCTGAAAGTGCTGGTCAAAAGTGCAAGTGCTGGTCATAGTCCAGACTCGATCTTTTGTTGAATAATTGATTGCAGGCTATTATCACTACCACAGAAATTTAATCAGATTAGACTAGAGGGCTTCATTTATCAAATTAAGATAATTATGTTTCACCATTGGCGCGAATAAAAAAATTAACATATGGATGATTTTTTTCAGTGAATAAATCCGTGAATCCATTTAAGGTAAAATCTATATTTCCTTTGCACATGAACAATTACAAACTTTGCAATTGCAACAACATTGATGCAGCCTTAAACGGTACCGTTACTGTTGTTGCCAACTCAGCAGTAGCAGCATCTGTTATTTTGACAATGAGAGAGCTCAACGTAGAATTTTTACGCGTCCTTTCCCTTAGTTGCTATTTCAAATGGGATACATGAAATTATGTTCAAAGAATATTTGACTACATTAATTTGGGAAAATGTGACGATATATCATACACGACAAAATGGCGATAGATGCTTCACGCCAAAGTGATGGTATATCATCCACGTAAAAGTGACGATATATCACATGAGGGGCGTCACATGAGGGGCGTCACATGAAGTAGATCTTGCCTACGCAATGTTGAGGTCGGGGCTTTGTTTCAACTTCAACAGCGCGACGTGGCATTACTCAACTTAACCTTGCTAAGCCTCGCATCAAGATTGCAGAGCAGAAGATCTGACAAACTGCTTAATGTCTTGACGCTGTACAGACATTAACATGAGCACACACCGAAAGAGAAGATTGGTAAATGAATTATTCGATGACAGATAGAGCTTTGTTACGGAGACTCGAGATCGTTATAGAAAGAGACGTAACGGCAGATTATAAGAGACAGTGGAGGTACATAACTACACTATTGTTATGTAAGTTATGAAAGTAAAACTATTGTTAAAGAAATAAATTTAGTGTTTTAGTAGCGTATATACTGATATTTCTTTCAAGGAATTTAAAAGCAATAATTAATAATATATATATATATTAAATAATAATTTTCATCCAAGATAGACTGTTTGTAGAAATATTGATCTCATCATTGCATCCTGTTTTAGCGGATTAAATAATGAAAAAATGTTAGCGAATTAATCGTGTGAAAATCGAATTTATGTGTTAAAATTTAATATGAATTGATTTTTTATTGTGCTACATTTCATCTTAGTTTTATCGTTTACGACGAAAGAGGATTCTCGAGTCAAGTCTGAATTCTATCCATGTTTTATGAAGCGGTCCGTTCTAGTCTTTTCAGCATAAATTCATCTGAATAATCTATATAATGCTGCATGTATCACAATCATTTGGAAAAAAAAAGAATATACCGCAATAATTTATATAATGAATAATTTACCTCAATCATTAATATAAAGATGAAAATACAACAATCAATTAAATAATGATTAATATACCACAATTATTTATATAATGATAAGAATACCACAATCATCCATATAATGATAAATATAGCAAAATATTGCGTCAAGAAATGTCTTTGCTATAGTTTCGTCTGCTGTATATCAGAAGAGTAATTTCATAATGACATTATATCGAGTCTAGCAGTGAACAATGGGCAGATTTTGGTGGGTAATTCGCAATAGCTTGGCGTATAGGAGGTGAGATATGATGCAATAACTCACAAACGCACTAGGAACTTAAGATATTTTGTCTCAATGCTTGCAGGGCCTTGAAAATAATAAAGAACTTAGCGCCATTTTGCTCCATGGATCAAATAAAAAAAGAAGCCAGAAAACCGAGGCGTATTGTAAAAAAAAACATAATTGAGAAGCACGACAAGACATTAATCATAATTACGGACCGAGAATTTACAGCACATGTCATGAAAGTCACACAGTCGAAGTAGCTTTCCTAATCTCTAAAAAACTGAGAGATTAGAGATCTTTCAATTTATAATTTTAGAATTGAGAGATCTCTCTCATCAATTTATTATTATCAGCTAGATTCACTTCCCCATGCACCTCTCCTTCTCCAGTGCATCATCAGCAGCTGGCATAGTATGTCAATATTCTGTACATAGTGTGATATATTTTGTCAACTTCACACAATACGATACGGTAATTTATCAGCAATTGTACATATTATGCTCATAATTTTTTATGAGAAATGAAGTGGACTAGTGCAGTACAAAGATGTGTTCATTAACAACTTCTTTTATTACTGATCAAAGGGGAGGATTCGAAGTCGCGAATTAAAAAATTTACTTCACGCAGTTTTTTATGTTATTGGTGAATAAATTAGAATAATTAGAAGCAATAGCATAATGATTTAGAATTGATTGCAACGAGGGATTTTTGCTCATACTTCAGTATTATTAACGTAAATTTGTTGTTTTATAAACTATTACTATTTATCACGTATAATTAATTTAAGGTTAAAAAATAAAGTTAAATTAGTTAAAAGCGTAATGAAAAATATAAGGGTACAAAGTTATATAAGGGTAAAAAGTTAAATAAGAGTGAATAGTAAAATTTGGGTAATGAGTAAAATAGGAGTAAAATAGGAGTAAAATTGGAGTAAAATTGGAGTAAATTAGGAGTAGAATAGGAGTAAAATAGGAGTAAAATAGGAGTAAAAAAGGAGTAAAATAGGAGTAAAATAGGAGTAAAATAGGAGTAAAATAAGAGTAAAATAGTAGTAAAGATTAAATAAAGCTTACTGAAAAGTCTACCTGCTTGGTAATGACACTTGAAGCTGACGCTCGCAGGCGGGTGAAAGAACACATCACTTTTTCTCAGCCTTTGTAAAAAAAAAACTTCCCGTTTTTCATGTCTTTTTGAGACTTTTTTCTCGGACGCACAAATTTGGCAGGATCTTAAACGGTGGATCCATGACTTACGGTTTGTAGAAGGTATATTGTGAAAATAAATGACATTTAAATGGATAACATTTATACGAACAAAATAGCACAAATAAGAGATCATTTAGACACAAGAAACTAAGCGAATCTTTTTGGATTCAGATGGTTTCTCTATCAAGGTCCCTAACCAACTGACCCATGAACCTAATAAGTGAATTTTTTAGACCTAACTAAGTTCTGACACTAAAATACCAAGTAAATACAACTTAAACTAAACAGTGAAATCAATAAAGCCGAGGTAGACAAACGGTGGTTCCTTACATGTTTCATTATTATGATTTAATTCTAACTTGCAAATAAAGATGTTTATTAATATGACAATCTTGATTGTATCTTGAACATCTAATCATGCCTCTACAAAATTATTTTCTTCAGTATTGACAGAAACGAATTACAATAAATATTTAGAGTTTCATTAATGCATCACGGTTACTCTTGATCATCACTCGGCAGGATCATCATCATGCATGATGATCATTCCGTATGATGAAATTCACGAGGTTTCTTCCCCTCTTTGATGTCTGGGGCCTTAATATACATAGCCAGCTCGTATCCAGGATACCGAACGAGTCGGAATATTACCGAGACCTGACATTATATATGTAACGATAATGCATTGCAAAAAAATGCGTTGAATTCCAAATCAAATTTTAATGCAATTCTGAAGTAGTAAATTTGCTTCTTAAATTAAAAATTTGGAATATCTTTTCTAGTACATGTATTCAAATTGATTTTGAAACTTAAAATGGAGATGAGAGAGAGGGGTTTTGGTTAAAAAATAAATATTAGTGAATAACTTTTCATCGTAAATCATAACCTGCAGGGGATATGATTCACGAAAATGATTCCGAAATCTCATTTATTTTATTTTTTTTTTTATAATTTAAGCATATAATGTAGAATGGCTTGATAGATTCTTACATATCGATTAGGCACCCAAGATTCAATTATTCAGCCTCATTCAATTATCACATTGTAACAAATGACTCAACACGCGGGACAAAATTCTTCACTTAGTTGTCATGAGGATAATTTTGTTCATCACTCACTCTACACGAAATAACTACAACGATAATATATAATTTAGCTAATATAGAGATAAAGATATAATAATTATAATATGCCATAATATAAATAATAATGAATTAATGAATAAGAATTACTTTTTATTGCTATTATAATTATTTTGATTCCTATAATTGTTACTATTCTCAGATAAGGAGTTATCTTAATTACTATATATAATCATAGTTGAACGTATACCAGAACGTACGTATATATAGGCGTGCCCCCGCCCCCGCGGTAGAACAGAACCATGATGGGGGCGTCGTCGGGGGGGTGGGGGTGGATGGGGCAGGGCAGGGAAGCGTCGCCCCCCACCACCGCCGTCACCTCCGTCAGGGGACCTGTAGTAAAATATATATGGATATACATGGAGGATATGTAATAGAATATACATAAATATACATAGCGTGTATGCAGTAAATATAAAGGTTTCATTGAAGACCAAAGAGTATTTCTTATTGACAATTTTCTTATTATTTTTCTCGATTCGGCGAATTAGGCTCTTGATAGGAAGTGCCTAACATGCCACCTCCAGACCGGAGGACCGAAGAACCACATGAGAGAGGCTCATAATGAGACACTCACTCGCGCGATGTTGGAGACCCACACCAGATATACATAGGGGACCTGTAATAAAGTATACATGTGTAGATATACATGGCGGACTTGTAGGAGATATTCATATTTAGATATACATAGTGGACCTGTAGTAAAATATACATAGATATACAAAACGGACCTGTGGTAAATATACATGTGTAGATATACATAGGGGACCTGTAATAAAGTATACATGTGTAGATATACATGGCGGACTTGTAGGAGATATTCATATTTAGATATGCATAGTGGACCTGTAGTAAAATATACATAGATATACAAAACGGACCTGTGGTAAATATACATGTGTAGATATACATAGCGGACCTGTAGGAGATATTCATATATAGATATACATAGTGGACCTGTAGTAATATACATATATAGATATACATAGAGGACCTGTAGAAAATATACATCTTACTTTTATATAAAATAATAAAAAGTACGTATAAAATCTACGTTGAAGACCTGTTGTCTGGATAAATCTTAACATCGGTAACTCTGTCCAACAAATATACGATTCTATGAATGATATGTTATTAACATTTGTTTCTCACTCGGTTATATGGAAGGCATTCGTGCTAAATTAAGTCTTTTCGGCGAATGAGCAAATTTATGCTCTAAGCGAACGCTGGAATCGCTGTACGCTGGAATAACGTGTCGTAACTTCTACATCAGATTGGTCTTTCACCGAAGGAGGAGCTATCGTTCTAAGAATCTGCTTACCCATCCGCCCCATTCAGCCATGTGTCTTCATACCAAAAATGCAACGGTCTTGGGTCTTGGAGCAATTTAAGATTTTAAGCTACACCTCGGATCCTTCGGATTTATGTATCTTTGAGTCGTTGCCTGTTGTTGAAGGAAATTCTTTTCATGCTAGTCGTTTAATCGGAATCTTTATAAACTTGAATTTTTAATCAATAGCTTTTTATTTAATTTATCCGATTTATTTCGCACTCGGTTTTCAAACTTCCCTTTTTTACATTCGGTCAATTGATTATTCTTGTATTCTTTAAGTACAGAACTTATGATGAATCATATATATTTCAAATATATATTCATCAATATTTCAAAGGAAACAATTTTGGAATCTAAATTTGTTATATTTCATAACTCCTAGAATATATTTATCATTAAGTGTTCTAAATGGAAATGGAATAAAAAATTAACATTTTATGTAGTAAACATAATTTTCATCGAGAAATTTATCGATAGGCCATGAGTAATTCCTCCGATAATTTTACCAAAATTCCGAAAGCGACCAATTTTTTATACATCGGAATATAACAATACCAATACGTGACAATGTACGTGACCTTTTGAAATTGCCACTTTTGATTTTTTTCATGATCACGATTTTAAACACAAAATTAACTTTTTGCACGAACCTAGTGCTAAGTCATGCCTAAGTTCAATAATAATTTAATTTAACTCAATTTAGTGGAATCTCGATCAATAAACAGCGTTCGATGTTAGTTGACAGCGTTCCTCCCTCCATTCCAACCCTTGGAAAATTAGATATAATCTATATGATTGCCAGTTCAGCGAAGATCACAAAATATAGACACGTAATGATGTAGCAAGTGAAAAATATTACATTATGGGATTAAGGAGCTGATTGATCGCTACAAAGGCTTCTTTGACCCCAGCTTCTAGGTACGGAGTCAAAGGCTATGCTGGGATTCTGAAGCAGAGTGATTGCGATCAAAGCAAGCCATTGGTTATTCTGGGAGTAGCTTCGGTTCTAAACTTTTTTCATCGGGCCGATGAGGCAGCACGGTTGGAATTTCCTCTATCCAAACTCTCATATTTCAGCTCGGGTAAAGCGGCTGAAACTTGCAGCCTGAAGTTTCGGTTCAATGGTAAGTTAAAATACTGGGCCATTATTCGGTGCCCGTGTTAGAGATCATTGCTGTACCAGGAGCGAGCAATAGACGGAATAACTGACTGGAATAATGAAGTAGTTTATTTATTTGTTTTGATTATGGGCTGTCTATTGGAGGATACTATATCAAATCATGGGAGATACAAAACTAATTATTAAATTAGATGGCCAAGACTAACCATGGGTGGTTTTGCGTGAAAATTATGAAACATTAATTTGATAAATCTCGGATCTTTTACTGGAATTATTTTGAAGACACGCTTGCAGTTTAAGCTACAAATTAGGGTACGTTTAAAAAAAATTTCATTTTGAGAGATATATGCAATTAAGATTTAAATGAAAATGCAGTTACCATGATGATCAAGTTTCTTTTCATGTATTTTAAATATACAATAAACGCACAGATAGCTGAATAACAGGCACAATTAAAATACTGGACGTTCATAGATTATTCGGCAAATAAAATCGGATTAATAATTTAGGACGTCTTTGAATTCAGGAGGTTATTTGGGGCTTCCTGAGATGTTTATATTTAACTGATGGTTTAATTTCAATAGTGCTAGTATGAAAAAGTAGGAGTTTGTATTCTAATCAAAGTTCGCTCGACTGCTGTTCCTTTTAGTGTAGGTTCTGTTTGATTGACGTTGCCGCCACGAAAAAATATTCCTATTCTGAATAATCCAAACTCTTTTTATACTCCACACTGACTTCCCTTCTCAACGCATAAATCTTTCTTCTTTTTACTCGACCGAAATACTCCGATGCTTGAAAACAACGGTTTCCAATATACTGAAGACGTTATCAGTGTGTGATTTTAATTCAGCAACCAAAAATATTTACCTCTCGTGTTTGCAACGGTTATATAAAATTCCGTGCATTTTTTAGCTGTGAGAAATAAATTCGTCCTCTCGCCAACGAAAAATGAATTCTTTCGTATGTGTTGATTTAGATGTGGCTATGTCAGTGACAATAATTTCTTTGCCGTGAATGCTTTCTTCGTGAACTGAATTAATTCTTTAAATAAAAATCACTATGCTAAAATGATCATGTAACATTATTAGGTATTATACCGGAAGCCATTTTGTTTGAAAGTGTACCATATATAAACGTGCTGCTGTTCAGCAGAACATGATTTCCGACCAAATTTTGGAGAAAATATTACGCTTATGATGGACATATGTTGACGTTTTAATTATTGCCGAGGATCCAACTCCACTTCAGCTGTTATGGCGCCATCGGTTCAACAAGTTCAGTATTGACGGTCCATTTGATGGGCTTCGTTAAAAATTAGAAACGCTTATAGACGAACGTTTGATGGTTACTCGGCCCTTATTCGGCTCTCGTCTGTAATAGGGATACATTTAAATGAATGCGTTGCGCTGGTGCAATATATTCACGTGCATTTATCTACGGGGGCTGTCGGTTGAAATCTTATTTAAATGGTGAATTTTGGGCACATAACTAATTTATTCGTCAAGGCTGCGACAATGAACTGGATTTTAATAACCCGAAATAAACACTTCGTTGACGTGAAGGCATGAAATAATAAAAAAATGAAGGCACTTAATAATTCATCTCGAGGAATAAATTGCATTTCATAGTCAGTTGTACTTGTACTAAGAAATGAATTTGAATTTAATCGATTGTGAAGTCGAAGTGGTAAAACTATTAAAGAAACGCTTCGCAGAACAAGCTTAGAATTCATAAACTGGCATGGTGAGCTAGTCTAGATAAAAAATTTACTGCAGTCGTATGGTTTATATCATGGAATTATCATCCCTCGAAAAAAAGATTTTTCCATATTATCCCTTGAAAAGATTTGTTACGTAATTTAAATAGATAAATTCCTTTTCTAGTGCAAACCAGCAGCTTTCCAAAAATAGTATAACACACACGCGCACACGACTTTATTCCATGCCCTCTCGTTTGATTTAAAAATGAAGATTTTTAACGCTAAATTGTGAGTTTTGCAGCAATTTTTCCCCGAGCAATACCATGACAGTGTATTTTGCCTTTATTCTTCCAGCACGTGTACGCGCGATCGCACCGTAAATTGCGAGATTTACGGTCGCTCTGAAGGAGTGCCCGACCATCAAACGGAGACGAAGTGAAAGATAAACGACGGTACGAATAAAACTTATCTTTGATGCCTTTGCCCTTCCTTCACAGAGAGAAACCGTTGATAAATCGAAAATGACACGTTTTCGTTGTTGGTCAGAAAAGATAGATTATTACTGTGCTATGGAATTAGGTCTGAATATGTTATATTAACTACATGAGTGGATCTTGGAAAATAGTATACCTTAAAAATATGGAAGAATATGAGCGATATGACAGTCATAATGCTACGAGAAATGTAACCTGGACTGAGTATTGTGTAAGTGTACTGAGTAAATGCAAGGCAGTAAAGTACTCCATAGACTGTAACGATACATGTGTATTGTTGGTTGTTGTACAGTTTTACAAGAAATTTTGACGCAAAATGAGTGGTGCACTTGTCGAAATCTGCTCCAGGTTATCATTAGTTTTTATTCTTCTCATGTAAGTAAGATCCTGGTACAGGCCTGACGCACTGTGTTGAACAGCGATAGGAATTACGATCGAATATGAAGAAACAATTAAATCAGTCTTTAGATGCTGAAGTTTACTTTAAAAACTTGCTGGTTGTTATGGCGAGTGTTTCTGCGAAAAAACAGTTTTAGTTCCACTCAATAATTGTTAAAAAAAATTAAGTTTAACAGTTGTCCTCGTATAGGAAAACTCTACACGATATAATTTCTCAATTAGCGTTTGACATTCAATATTTCCCCCACTTAAAAAAATTATCAATTATTATATAATACTGGAATTGCTATGCATTTCAAAGCCTATTGATGGATTGGTCGCTTCAAAGATTATTCAGATATTCGATGGAGAGAATTCATTACTGAAATGCGTGTGCTGGGAGCTGACATAGCATTTAACTCTGCTGGAGCATCCCTCCGAGTACAACAACAACAGCGGAGCCAAACAACAGAGACAAAATACAGAACCAAACAACAGAGCCAAGAGACAAATTATAGAGCCAAACAGAGACAAAATACAGAGCCAAACTACAGCGACGAATACAGAGCCAGACAACAGAGCCATGAGACAAAATACAGAGCCAAGCATCAGAGCCAATCAACAGAGCTAAAATACAGAGCCAATCAACAGAGACAAAATATAGAGCCAAACTACTGAGCAAAAAAAAAAAAACGGAATGATTGAACAGAACCAGAATACAGAGCCAAGCTTCTGAGCTTAACAACAGAGTTTAACAACAGAGCCAAAATAAAGAGCCAAAGTACAGTGCTGAACTCTCGAACCAAACAACAGAGCGAAACAACGGAGCAAAACAACCGGCCTGAAATGCAGAACTAAACAACAGAACAAAACAACTGAGCTAAACAACAGAGCCATACTACTGAGCCAAACAACCGACCTAAAATGCAGAACCAAACAACAGAACAAAGCAACTGAGCTAAACAACAAAGCCATTGAGAACGCGTCAACGTCGAGACGAGACCTCTCCGGGAGGGCTTCAGCGCTCCTATTTGGCCTCAGGGGAGCCGGGGAGGAGTGACATCCTTGAGTCATGCGTCCTGGGAGACGCTACCCGGTAGTCTTGGACCAACGGCTTTTTCTGATAGGGGACTTGATGATCTGGCAGCCAAGTTCCTCCTCATCCTGCGCGGTGGTGACATCGAGCCAAACCTGGGTCCTATCACTTTGTGTCCCACCTGCAACATGCGCATAACATCTTCTCGCGCTTGAAAGGGATCCGTCCTGTGCAAAAATTGGTATCCGTCCTGTGCAATAGCGGCAGGTGCTGGTTCTACCTCAAGTAATCCTTGCTCCCAACGCTTAAACATCACACCAACAACTGGCTCTACACGCTTTGCTACCGTTTGGAAGGAGCGCCCGCGCTGCAGATAGACCAGCGTGCACCTCGTCCCTATGTATTCGGCTCACCTGTGCACCACCGGCTCATCAGCAGTCGCCCAGCCGTCTGCCCAAGCTTCCCTCTCTGCCTCACCCAATCTTTCCAGCTTGACCTCGAACCAGCACATCACCATCCGTGGTCGCAATCAGAACCTAAACATTTTTCAGTAAGAAATTTTTGCCAATACTGCCCAGCACTCCCCCACATCGCTGGACAGCACCTAAAAAAAAACTTGTGCCCCCACAGCCAGGCACACCGGTAGACAACTCCAGCTCGAGTGCTCGGAGCTATGCGTGGGCACATTATAAAAACATAATTTCAGTCAAACGGCATAATTTCAGTCAAACAACTTCAGACCCCGCGCATCAGAGGTTGCCTTCTCTTGCGACGCGGGCTTCCAGATGTGACCGGGCCGGATGAACATCAGCAATAACAACAGAGATAAACAACTGAACTAAACAACAGGATCAATTAATGAACAGAGCTTAACAACAGATCCAAATAATTGAGCCAATCAATTTAGCAAAACAACTAAGCTGAACGACCGAGCTCAACAACAGAGCAAAATAAATGGGCTAAAGGAAGGTTGTCTGTTCAGAAACCATTCCTCTAATGATAATTCGTATTAATTTCCTATTTTATTAATTCACATTTCGATTACCTGACAAAGTTACGTTCTTGAATGTAAGTGGCATATAAATTATGACTTTAACAATAAATTAAAAGTTTTTATTACTATACTCACTGTTCTCAAGGCCGAGAAGCTGATGCTCTGATGCAGCCGTCGTGTCCAAGAAGCTCAGCAACAACAAATGTACAAGTAGAGCTTGGAAAAAATGTTTTTTCTTCATTTTTATTAGCTTAGATGGAGGAAGTCTTGCGGTGACAGAAGTAAGAAGAAATTGTTGCTCTCTAGAGAACCAAGTTCTTTTTACTCTCTAGAGGACCCTCTTGATAAAAATCATAGTCGTATTTTCACTGGCCGTATGTCGGCCGTCCCTGTATTAATAATGTTAGTCTGTCTTTTTTCAAATCTGCTTACTGCATTTGGTCTAATCGACAATAAACAAGTTGAGAAATTTTGAGATTTTAAAATTAACTAAACACTTTCTACAGTTTACGAAAAAATCTAATCAGGATATTTTATCACCTAGACAATAGCTGCCGTTAATCAACCTGCAAAAATCAACAGAAAATCATTATTGTCTCATACAAAATAGAAAACGTGTGAGCAAGACCACCGTTTCAAGCAGTCTTCAATATTTGCAACAAATGGGCCTTTCAGATCTAATTTTACATCAAATACATAAAAAATATAACTCAGTACTCACTGCAGTGAGTGACAGAGAGCGCATTTTCTCGTCGACGAAAACGTGAAGTCACGGACGGACAGACAGACTGACATGGCGAGCACAATAGTGCATTTTTTCATAAATGAGAAAATGCGCTAAAAATAACTACACAATAACTTTTATAATTTTAATATTTTGCAGGAACGAATACATTATTTAAAATTATATTAGGAGGAAGATTATTATAATAGGAGAAATGAATTATTATTCAGCGCCCACTCCACTATTTACCCACTTCAGCACATACTTTTCAGCGATTATTACAGGCGAAAGATTACGCTGATTTTTTTTTTGCAGCACAGTTAATGAAAATGGGCTTGCGCAATTTTCCTCAACAGTCCTGCAAAAGGCTTATATATAAACCCTTAGCATGAACGGCTTCTAATCGATTCAAGCTTATTGAAATTATATTTACCAAACGGCGAATTATTTCGACGTTGATTGTACCCTCGAGGTGAGTGGAAACGAACCATAAGCAAAAATGTTCTAAATCATACACACGTGTATTTAAACAAAAGTTAGAAATTTCTTTTTGAACGTTATTTCATTGGTGATTACTGACCATAAAATGTAAAAATTTTACCAACACAGCTACACGAGAATGAACTAAAAGAAAATACACAACGAAACAAACGAAGGTTTTTTTTTCCGGACAGGATTAATTTTGAACGTGAGAGTCTTGATTTAGTTTTTTTCTGGATGAATCCGACAAGGCAGTTAATTGAAGTGCCACAAAGAAGAACGCATTTCATTCTCATTATTTCCTGATTATTTTTCTGAGAGGACAGAAAACAAGAGACGCAATCAGCAGGAGTTTAGAAAATGTGGATCGTATCGGAATGAAGCTACTCGCATGATTCACAGTCAAAACCCGTTTATTTACCGTGGTTTCGCCCATTGTTTTAAAAAAATTTTGATTAGGTACTTTAATATAGCACAATGTACTGTGAATTAAATTGAACTAAGAAGGCAAACTAGTTCTTTTCATTCAGCAATGCCATGTTTCCTATGATTGAAGGGAAGTATAATTTACTCATATGTCGCTAAGAGTTTGAACACTTGTATGATTAATATTGTAAACATCAATTTTTGAAAATAATATTGGGAATTCTGAACTAGTTAGGCCTCGGACTCGTTGACATGAGCCTCCATTAAATTTTTGTGTGGACCAACAACGCTTCAAAATTTCAGGGCATTCAAGAGGCGACTTCGCTGATTCCTCCTCTGATCTCTTAAAAATCTTGAGTGGTTCTTTGTACTCAAGCAAAGTTTACTCACTTAAAGAAAGCAAGTTCAAAAAATTGATGACAGGTCTTAAAAATCGACCTAACGAGGATGCTCTCAGGCTTAGGCATTTTTATAATGATTTTTTTACAGACGATGATTGATCCACTATAGTTCTAGTTTCCGGCTTAAGCATTTTCATAATGAAATATTTTTACAGACCATGATTGTTCTATAATAGTTCTGGTTTCAGGCTTAGGCGTTTTTATAATGAAGTATTTTTACAGACCATGATTGATCTATTATAGTTTTGGTTTCAGGCTTAGACGTTTTTATAATGAGTTATTTTTACAGACCATGATTGATCTATTATAGTTTTGGTTTCAGGCTTAGGCGTTTTTATAATGAAGTATTTTTACAGACCACAAATGATCTATTATAGTTTTAGTTGCAGGTCTTGACCTTTTTTATAATGAGTTAGTTTTGGATAGGTCAACGCTGGATTAACGATAAATATAATCGGATAAATCAGACATCACTCAAAGAAATGAGTGAGACTTTGTCCAGATAGGCACTTTTGCTCCAGCGTGACTCATATGGTCTCAATTTAGCCCGGTAAAAATGCGGATCATTCTAGTGTTGAGGGCGACCTCCCCTGCAACACTATCAGCGGCGAGAAGCAAGCAACAGCATCGTGCATCAGGTGGCCCAAATGAGGGCGGATGCGCGATAATGTATAATCAGAGGTGGCGATCCATCGTGGCCTGGGACTGCTACGTCCGAAACAAATACCAAGGATACCAAGGGTAAGAACGTGTGTCACTATTAGACATCCTCTTCATCGATATCCCCTTCATCGATGTCAGTTAACTATGATGGGCGCAATTCTTCTTCGCTTTTAATTGGCCGAATAAAATCATCAATAATAACATATGATCGTTACGCTATCGTCCCTATCCTCAAACCATCGCTACAACCAAACCAACCCTCAAGTCTTACATATAATTATTATACATATAAGAGGTGAACAGAAAAGCTCTGATATAAGCACCAGCACAGTTGTAGAGTTCTTATAACCTCGCGCAAAACGCAATGCAAGTCAAAATTAAATAATGAATAACAAACAAATCATAATTGTCCTATGAAAATGTTTTTTGAGATGCGTGCGCTCTCGATATATAACTGAAAGTTACCTAGTGACGACGAACTTGTGATTGAGATGACAATAAAATTTTTAATAAAATAATAATAATAATAATATATAATTCAAATTTATGTGTGTATTCCTTACAATCGAAATCCAGATTAGCATGATTATTACATAACAACCTCTTGGTCAACCAGCTTTTCTCATCGGATAACTTATATAATGACATCATTATTATATAAGGGTGGAACAAAATGAACTTCACTGCCGTCGGGCTTTGTTAAATCGACGCAGGACTTGCATTAAAATACGCGCACTAACTTAATGACTTGAAGGAATGAATTACAAGTATTTTCGAAAAATATACCAAATTCTTTTTTCTCCTCAGATCTGATTTAAATTTAGTTCTTTTCGTTTACAGTTCACAGTCAAGCTACTGTCGCAGTCACTCCTTTAAATTGTGTCTTCACTTGAGCCGTGGCCTTAGGCCTCAGGGGTCGCATAGACGACTCCTGCGAACTGCCGCGATTGAGGCGAACGCTGAGTTAAGGCTGCGAAATTCTAAATTTGCATACACCATTTGCCGATTTATTTATCGATTTGATTTGTTATCACTGCCGGTTATAGCTTCAGTTCGGAAATTTATCGACTATCGCTCAGAATATCTCTTTAGTTATTGCCGAGCTATAATTACGATGAGCTTATTTGACTCAAAGTTTTAATAATATTTAGTACAACAAAAATATACAGACTTTCGTGATATGAAGTTTCAAGTCTTGTTTTCAAATAGCAGATAAACATTTAATTTATTTTATTATGTAGACATGACCTACTAAGCTTATGCCATTAATTACTCTTTTTTAGCGCATTTTCTCATTTGTGGAAAAAAGGCGCTATTGTTCTCGCCATGTCCGTTCGTCCATCTGTCCATCCGACCGCCTGTCCGTCCGTCTGTCTGTCTGTCCGTCCGCGACTTCACGTTTTCGACGACGAGAAAATGCGCTTTCTGTCACCCACCGCAGTGAGTACTGAGTTACATTTTTTTTGTTAACCGAGCGTCTGTTAAAGACAACCCTAGACAGACTCTGAATATTTTCAATTCTTGTCTAGACAGACTTTGAATCTATTCAATTCTTGCCCTCGCGTTCCGATAAATTGCATGGTCTATTCTGCTATATTTATTTTAATACCTAACACTGCACGACATTTATTTAATGTGACTGCAGTCAGTTTAGTCTGCAATCACATTAAGCACGGTGATAAGAATTAACAACTCTCATTAGGAGCCGTTACCATTTTGCCAGTGACAATTTAATCAGAGCGCCTATTAAAATAGTTACATTGCTAATTGAGGGGACTGCGGATCATGTGATAAAAATTAATTACTATGATTTTTATATCCATCATGGATTATTATTTTTAATGCTAAAATATGTCATTTGTACTAAAATTTTTCTGAGTGCATCCGAGAAAATATTAATATATTACAATGATTTTATGCAGTTCTTAGCTGAAATTAAATACCTGACAGGAAATTTATTTCCGCTTCGCAAATGGAATGCATCATTAAGGGAATTTATAAGCGGATATTAGAGACATAATTTCCACGCTTCATTTCCAGTCATCTCGATCGAGCAAGTAAATTAAGCCCCGCTCAATTAACCTAATAACTATTTACACACAATAAAGATTTTACAGATCATGCGTACTCAACAAGAGAGGCAAATTTTAGGAATTGTAATATTCATAGCAGTGTTTTAGTTAAAATAAAAGTTTAAATAAAAAAGTTTTAGTTGTTTCCTCACGAATTCTGCATCGAATTTTTTTTGTCGATACATACGCTTCAGAAGAAAAATACTCATTCAATTTTCAATAAAATTTGCCAAAAATTTAAATTCTTATATATTCTTTACCTTTTTATAAATTAGACTCTCTGAAACACGACCTAAATTTCGGTAAATTTATATTATTTTCTATTTCAGTGTTTGTTATTTTTTCCCTAACGCATTGCCTAGCAACATAACGACAACTCTTTTTCAAGATATTTTAAGTTAAGTATTAAGTATTTAAACAATCGGGCTTCCGAGCGCGTTTCCGGAATGCGGACTCGTGGCGTTCATACATAAAAAAGCGGACGAAAACTTCGTGATGTGCGGAGATTGATTTCACGCTCGACGCACTTCACGAATTGCGTGGCCGACCAATGCGTGGAGGGTCACAGCAGCATTTAAACTGAAGGGGGATGAATGAATGGAAGAATTCGCACTTTTGTTGTTTTTGTAACCTTCTC